ATTACCCACTGAACTGAACTCCTCTAAGTTCTGTTGTTTATTTTACATAAAAAGGACAAAGTTAATTACGCACTGGTGACCTCTGATCTTTATGTGCTGAAACCCATAAAGGCTCACTGATAACAGCCTTCTGAAGAAGATGGCGAGAAAAGTGAAGGGTGTCCTTTTGCTTTTCGTTGTCATGAGCTTTGTGCACAAAATTGAAGCAGGTAAGAGCTTACTAAAATTATTTGTTACAAATTTTATGTGCAAGGGTTGATACTGAGTCAGATGCAGGTTTAATGCCCTCCTGCATCCAATTCTGTTGACATACGAATCAGTATATTTGAATACATGTAATATTAACCTAATAAACAGATAACTTAGTATGTAGCACCCCCATGATGATAAACTAATAACCATGACTGCCATGGGCACACCTTTAGTGGAATTCACAAGACTTACTGTACTGCTTCAAATGATTATGAATCGAACCATGACTGCCAGTTACCTAGACGGCACACCTTTAGTGGAATTCACAAGATTTACTGTACTGCTTCAAATGATTATGAATCAGTTTTCTGTAAACATTGTTCAAAGTTATTTCAATAGACCAGAGATGATCTCACATCAATGTAATTCAAAGAAATCTTGGAGGGCTTTGAAGCAAACGAGAAGGAGATAAAAGGTCAACATTTGAGGAGAGGAAGGAGATCAAAGCGGAAGCTAGGGAGAGAAGTAGGGACTGATTAAAAAACACTTGGGGACAAAGTACAGATTGATGTGAGAGAAGACGGGGAGCAGAAGTGCTGAGAATGAGAATCTTTGGGAGACAAAGGGAGGGGGAGGGGAAAGAATGAAAGAAAAGGTCTTCTCTGGAGCCGGGCCAACAACATAGAGGCTTATGAATCTGCCTCCTGTAAGAAGATCACTACCAATTTCCATATAGGGGTGAAGTATTAGTACAAATAGTTTGTACTAAGTAAATAAAGTACAAATAGAGAGTTTGGAGTTTGGTCAGAGTCCTGTTATGAAGTACCAGGTGCGTAAGGGAAATTGCGCTTTTCACAACTCCCTCTTTGGCTGTTGCACAGCTGAGCATACAACCAAGTGCATGAGCTGGGTATATCTGAGCGTGCAACAGCCCAAATGATCACACACACTAGTCAACAGAATTTTACATAAGATTCGATGTGGAAGTGGACAAGAGCATTTGATTTATACTTGGATTGTCTAGTCTGAAACGTTACGCTGTATTTGTCAGGTTTTCTGCTTGTTTTTTCTTTTCACATTTGATCTTTATTTCATTCACTCTGTCCCTCCCTCTCTCATTTATTTTATATCCTATCTTTTCTCCAATAAGTTTGACACAGCATATATGGTTCCCTGCTTTCTCATTTTGTTATTAATCTTGGGCCAGTTGCATTGAGAGAGTGCCATAAGCCCAGGATCACCCAGTGAATTTCATGGCACAAGGGGACTGAATCTGGGTTCCCCGATTTCTTCACTTCTAGCACTCTACATCATGCTGACACAGTGCCTTAAATTGTGGATAGAAATAACTTTGGGGAAAAAATAAAAAAATGAAAGTGCTTTCTAGTAAAATAAACTTTTACTTGTGTGCAATTAGACAATGAACTGAAGCTTGACCAGGCCTTGCTCACTTTCAAAAATCATCTTCCTAAAGGAATTGCTGCTTTTTCAGAATCTGATGGCTGCTACAAAGTAAGTAGAATGGACTTCTGTGAGAAAAACAGCTGCTGTGGTTTTGAAATTCTGTGTGGGAAATTGTCAGAATTCAGGCTACTTCCCCCCCTTCAACTCTCAGAATGCAAAAGGTTGGGTGGCCACCCATCAGGGATGCTTTAGCTGTGAATATCTTCCATCAACAGCACTTGGACTGCATAACCCCTGGGAAAGTCCACAGTTTTACAGTGCTAATAAGCTATGCTGTATCACACCATCCCTCAACATCTAGCCTTGTTGCTCCAGAGGAAGAGGGAGGATATGGGGAAAGAGATCTAGGAATGAGGTATCCAGCTTTCCATTAGTTGATTAAAGCTAATTCTGCATTTTCATGATGTTCCAATATGGTCTTATTACTACCCTGATGGAACAGGTTTTAAAGCTAAACATTTAGCTCATTGCTTGAGAAGATTAAATGTAATGTTTGACTTCAAAGCGGTGAAAGTTTGGCTTAACATCTTGTTCTGCCTGCAAAGGCTTCTGGGATTAATCAGCATTCGATTCATCATAGAAGGTGGTGCCCTTTTTCTAGTTGGGACCATAACCAGTTGAATATTGATCGAAATGTCCACATCTCTTCCCCCTGCTAGAATTTCTGGGTGTACTAAGTGTTTCCTTTAATCTTGCTAAATGAGGTCAATAGCAAGAACGAGATGCCAAGAATATTCCAAGCTGTCTTAGAAGGAATGATGTAACACTATTGTAAGCTGACAGGCAGGGGAAGCTTGTGGATCAGAGAGGGCTTCCACCCAATATTTGGAGAAGCAAGGAAAACCATAACTGCTAAGAGATTCCTTGCTGCAAGTTTTCTTATATGAAACTACAGGAGCACTGTTTTTTTTTCCCTTCTGTCAGCTTGGTCCTCATGAAGTTCCTCTTTATTTTAAAAAAATTAATGAATATTTCTCTGTAATTGTATGAAGTTGGTCAATTTAACAACATAATGGAGAGTCAGATGACAAACAAGACAATAGCACTGATAAATGAAGACTGTGAATCCATGCCATGAAATAAAAGAGGACCAAAAAAGAGAGGGTTCATTTGATATAAGCCTATATTTCTTTGAACCCAAATTAAACCTGGTCTTGATTTTTAAAGGACCTCTGGAATAGGCAACTTACTCTACAGGGAGAAAAGCACTGCAGAAAAAAGAGCATAGTTTAGAACCAAATGTTTGCCCCCAGCACCTTGGGGGCGGGGCTCTACATAATCCTTAAATGTCAATACAGTTCAAAAAAAGTCATATAATCCAGGCATTCCATGATGTATGTATATTTCAGGGTTTAGTTAGTTACTGTAGTTAGTTTCCCCTACCTCTTCCATCTCCTGCCAACCTAGCAGTTCGAAACATGTAAAATGCGAGTAGATAAAATTGATACCACCATTGTGGGAATTTAACAGCATTCCGTGTCTAGTCGTTCTGGCTACGTAACCATGGAAACTGTCTATGAACAAACACCGGCTCTACAGCTTGGAAACGAGGATGAGCACCGCCCCCTAGAGTCGGACACGACTGGACTAAATGTCAAGGGGAACCTTTAATGTTACCATACATCTTTCATGCAAAAACTCTTGTTCCTGGCAGGCGGCAACAATAGGAACTCCTGCTCTGCTTTTTTAAAATCTGGGGTGTAGAGGTGCTTATCAAAAATGCCCATGAGGGCTGCTTGCAGGCATGGGCCATGGTTTGCCCATTCCTGCTCTATGAACATTGGAGAGTGTGAGTTGAAAATAAAAATGGAGGTGCAGGTGAGAACTGGGCTACCATTAGCTCTTAATTCTTTTTCCTTTTTTCGCATCTTGGACTCTTGTAGTAAAATTGGGCCTCATTTTTAAATGCATTTATGTTTTCATGTATTATATTTGTATCTTCGTTTTGTTGTATTTTGTGTAAACTGCCCAAAGTAGACATGTTCTAGATGGGTGGTATACAAGTCTAATAAAATAAATAAATAATAAATAAACAATTGTTTATAAGATTGTAGAAGGCAGGGTTTTTTTTTGGGGGGGGGGTTAACGTTTTACCAAGAGGGCCACACCGGATACTTTCAAGATCTTAGAGGGTGGAAGGAAGAGGAGCATGCACACATGCATACGCACGTGTGCCCCCACACCCCTGTGCCCCCAGATCCATGCAGACGCACACAGGCACTCCCCACAGATGCCCGCCCACCCACTTGCACCCCCATCCCTGCACACATGCATGCATGTACCCCTCGCATGCACCCTCCCACACCCTCCCGAGAGCATGAGGTTAAGGGAACGGGCCGGATAAAACAGCAAGGTGGGCCAGATGTGGACATCCCTGCTCTTGAGGACTGGAGTGGGGAATGTGAGATGTGGCCACAAGGTTGAAACACGAATTTCTTCCTATACTTCAGTGTTTTATTATGAGACCCCAGTTGCTCTGATAAGAAAATAATCTTCCAGGTCCACTTTTTTCTAAGGAGTTTTTTCTCACTCCCATCTTCATGATTGCACTTTTTTTGGTAACATATTTCCTTGTTTTCTTCAGTGCTTGCCACAGACCCTTTTTACAGTTCTGCCAGCGTCAGCTGGAATGCCTTCTAATGTGAGTGTGGTGGTTAGTTCCCGCTTTGTTCTCACAATCAAAATATTTACAGATATGAATGCCATCGACCCTATTTGCAGGTAATTCATGTGGAAATGTTTTAAATGCATGTAAAAATAGTGATTCTGTTGGGTGAAATGGCAGAAATGCATACAGTCAGGCAGAGTTTGTATAAGTATGACAGAAAAATCACACTAGTAGTTAATTAGTCTTCTCCTTCCCCATTCACCCACCTACCATGAACAATGACATTTTCCCTTTTAACATGACTCACCAATTTCTATTTTTTTATTGAATTAATATGCTACAAAACGTACAACAAAAACATAGTTTCCAGCTTTGTTTTACACAGTCTCTTGGTTGTTCCAGTAATGCTTCTGAGAGTGAGTCCAGTTCTACTATATCCCATAGCTTCTTTAACATCTCTTCTATCGTTGGGGTTTCTTCGCTTTTCCATTTTTGGGCCCAGAGTAATCTGGCTGCTGTGATGATGTACATTAGACAATTTTTCATTTTTTTATCATTAACTCCTGGCATGATATCCAGTAATGCCATTTCAGGTTTTATACCTAATTTCTGCTGAGTAATTTCTTCCACTATTTCCCACACCTGTGTCCAATAATTTTGGACTTTTTCGCATGTCCACCACATATGATAATATGTTCCTGCATTCTTTTTACACTTCCAACACACATTGCTGTCACCCTCTGA